CCCCCACACACACACACAAACACGTGCGTGCGCACCCCCCCACACACACACACACATTTTCTTGCACAAACACACGAAACCACACCTTATGCAGGAACCTGACGCGCGCCACCTCCCCCAGCGCCGCCGCGCAGCGCTCCGCCACCCACAGCACCTCGTGCTGCAGCGCCAGCGCCCCCAGCGCGCGCCACTGCGCCTCCACCTCGGTGCTGGGCGGCAGGGCCTCCAGCGTCGACACGGCTCGGTCAAAGTCCTGGGTCGCGCATAATGTATGTGAGGCGCGGACCAGGTGGACCGGCAATCAGTTGCGATGAAGATGCAGGCGGCCTTCCGGGCAGCCCCAAGATGCAGGCCTTTCGGGCCGCCTTGGTCCACCGCTACTGCTGGCAAGCGACGGCCGCAAATGTCCACCTCACTCGGCCCCAACCTATCCCATGGCAGCCTCACGGCAGCCGCCCCATACCCGCGAGCGCGCAGCCTTTCCTCCAAACGCCGTTCACGCCGCCCCCATGCGGTGCCCCTGGACCCGCCCCGCCCCGCCCCGCGCACCAAAAACTCGAGGGCAGCCCCAAAGTCAATCAGGCCCTCATCCAGGGCGTACGCGGCCTGCGTGAGTCCCTCGTCCACCAGCACCTCAGTGCGGCCCGGGGCGCGCTCGATGCCGCTGACGTCGCCCCTTATGGGGATCACGGTCGGCCTGCGCGGGCGGGCGGCGGCGGTGTCGGCATGAGGGCGGCATGAGCGGCATGAGAAGCGGGATTTCTTGGAAACAAGAGCAGGGGGTCTCCAGCGTTGTTGACCATCCCGCACAAAAACAAGAGGCGCCAAGACCTGTGCGGGTCTGGACCCCTTCAGGATGACCATTTTGAACGTCCTTGACGGAGACACAGCCGATGCTCCCTCCTGCGGGCCCCTGCGCACCTGCCCGGCGCGCCGACGCCGTACCAGACGCAGAGCTCCCCCCTGCTCTGCGCGACGACGCAGTCGCTGCCGGGCACCCACTGCACGTACTGGCAGAAGCCCAGCAGCGGGGTGCGCTCTTGGGTGGCGAGGTCCAGGAGGAGCAGGCGGCGGCCCTTGTCGCGGAACAGCAGGTGGGAGCCGCGCTGGTTGAGCTCCTGGGGAAGGGGGACGGGAAGATGCGGGTTGACACGACACTGGGTGAACGCGTTGTGCATACGTGCGTATGCGCGTATGTGCGTGTGTGCGATTGCGTGCTTGCGCGGGTACGTGTGTATGTGAGTGTGTGTCAGTGAGTGTGTATTTAGGCATGTGTGCGGTGGGGGAGCACGGGCGTGTGTGTGCATGTGTGTGTGTCTGTGCGTGCACGCGTGCGCTCTCTGTTCAAGCACCCAGTGGCAAACGCAGGTGTGGCACTGTGCATTGTCTGGCGGAACAGGCCAGCAACAAATCCGACACCCAGCATTGCGGCTTGTATTAACACTGGCATGTCGATGATCCAACGACGCGCAGAGCCGTCTGCCACACCCCGCGCCTGGTCTTGTCACTACCGCTCAGCCCCGCCCGAAAACCCCCACCAGCCAGTCGATGCGGGCGTCGTGGCTGACGGTGGCGAGCACGGCGCCCCCGCCGCCCGTGACGCCGCCGGCCGCCGCGGCCGCCGCCGCCGCCGTGAAGTCGACCACCCTAAGTGTTGTGGCATCAACCAGGTACGCCACGCGCTTGGCGGCCGGCATGGCGCCGCGCGCCTCCTGCATTGGTGGCGACGAGTGAGGGATTGGCTGCGGTCGCGACATGACGAGGGCGTCACATGCGACGTACAGCTGCTGGGAAGCTACACCCTCGCTCCTCTGCATTTCGCCGCAGCATATGGCACTGGAAGCTCGGCAGGCAGCGATGCAGTTGAGAGATCCATGAATACACCCTCAGACAGAGAATTTCATGATAAGAATTCGAGAGGCCAGCCGATCACCCTCATCAGGGCCCCGCCAGGGGACCGCCCCGTCTGTCACCTGCACCGCAACGCTCAGCAGGTACGGGCTGATGTGCTCCGTGCGCAGCGCCAGCACTGTGTCGTTGATGCCGTACTCCACCACATGAAGCTCGCCCGCGCTGTACAGCAGGCACACCTGGCGCCGCAGCGCGTCGAGCGTGTGTGTGTGTGTGTGTGTGTGTGTGTGTGTGTGTGTGTGTGTGTGTGTGCACGCGCGCGCTGGGAAGCGACGCACGCTCTGTCAGGACGCCGGCTGTAAGTGGACCAAGGACCGCAAGCGTCCCTCACCCTCAATTGCATCCAACAATTGGCATGCCAGGCGCAGGTCTTGCCTGCATTCCCCCTGGACCCCTCCTCATCCTCGCCTGGCCGGACACCAGAGCTGGCCACGCTGGCCCCACAACCACCCCCGCCTTGCCGATGCCGAGCGCCGAACCACCTGCTCGTTCTCAAAGTAGAAGCGCTCCCCGCCGCCGCCGCCCTCCCACGGCACCTCGCTGAGCTGGCAGCTCTCCAGGTCGCCCTGAGCACGCAATGGGAGCACTATTGAAATCGGCGCCGCATCAAGCGCGGCGCAGCTGCTGCTGCAAATACGGACATGCAGCAGGCTGCGGCCTGCAAAACAAGCTGTGCGCCGGACCATGCCACTCCACGCCGCCTGCCAGCCGACGCACCAGCAGCAGTGTGGCGTGCGTGCGGCCGACGATGTACCTTCCCTGGTACACGGAAACCTTCGACACCTCGTATCCATACACTGCATGCGGGATGGGCAGTGGGGCATGCAATAATCGTGCTGAAACCAAAGCAAGCCCAGCACGAGGAGCTATCTGGACCGGTCCTGCGGCCAGCAGCGCCTGCCCTGCGGCCACGGAGGGGTCCTGCGCGCACGCACATTCCGGCTGGCGTGAGGCGGACGCCCGAGTGCCCCAGTTGAATGTCAGTCCAGAGAGGAGGCTTGGTTCCCACCCGATTTGAGGACGATGCGGCTGCCTGTAGCCAGGGTCTTGACGATGACAGCCTTCTTGCTCACATAGGTCAGCTCAAACTTGCCCTTGTGCCTATCATGATAACATCGTTGGAAGCAAGGCTGTGGTTGTGGTCAAGCATCTGGGCATCAGGAGCAGCAGCAGCATCGCTTGTGCTGCTGAGCCCAGCTCCAGGTTGTCCTCGGACCATAAACATCCACATATGCATATTTCATCTTCAAGCTGCCGCATGGCAGCCAAAGAAAGCCATACATGGCCGTGTGTCCAGGGCCTGACATGGGTAGCTTCACCTGTGCACGCACGCCGTCTCCCCCAGCCTCACTCACTTTGTCCTGCGTATGCACGCGTCCCAGATGTCCACGTTGCCCCTCAAGCCTCCCACCGCCAGCTTCGAGCCATCAGGCTTCCATGACGCCGCCGTCACTGCAAACATGTTGTCAATCTGAAGGCGGAGAGGCGGGTCGGGCCGCATGCCCGCGGCATGCCAGACGGGATTACAAAGGGCTGCGTGACACCATAAGACCACTCAAGCAGCAGGGCCGTCCACAGCATTGTGCTGGCCCACTTCAAAAATACAGCGCATCGATGAGGTTTTGCAGCACTGCAGATTCTCAATGCAGAGCCGCGTGCGCAGTCCCCGCCGCTGCGCACCTGCTTGACGCCCGCAGGCTGCCACAACCCCTTGGGGCCTCCTCGCGCGAAGATGTAGAGTCTGTTGAAGCCGCCTACCACCGCCGCATCGCCGGCAGGGTTCATGGCCGCGCAGCCAAAGCTGCGGGCGCCGTTGTCGCCGCCTTGGTCGAAGGCCGCCTGCTCGCGGCCGGTCTTCGGGTCGTAGAAGACCACCTGTGTGATTGGAGCAGTACGGGAGCCAGGTTGCATGCTGCAAGTGGTTGACATGGTGAGGCACGCCACCGTTTGCCGCAGCATGCCGTCCAAGGTGGAAACGTCAGGCAGCAGCATGAGGCATGCTGCACAGCACGCGTGCTGCAGACAATGCCCGCCGTTCATCATGCATGCCGGCCGCACATCACGCGTGCTGCATGCTCTGCATTCCGACATTTGTGTAGACTGCGCATGGCAAGCCTTTGCGTGGCAGGGCCCAATCTCACCCTGCAGTCGCTACCCGCTGCCACGACGCTTTCGCCCCAGGCCAGTGCGCATGGCGCGCAGCTGTGGTGCACCAGCTTCACGCAGCCCGCGGTCCCACCTGACCCATCCTGCGAGTTTCCAGGGCAATCGAGGGTCCAGGATCCCTCACCCCCACACGCTCTTCACCAGCTGCTGTCAAATCTGCTGTTGTCGCTGCCGCCACTGCCGGCAACGTGTTACTGGCAAAAGCAGGCGCCGATTCTGCTTCCCGACTTCAGGCGTCAAGCTCATGCGCCAGCACGGCCGCCGCCATGGCGGCATCGCCGCTTTTTGGCCAGCCCCACGGGCCGCCCCTCCCCGCACCTGCTGCTCCGGGAATGTGAACTGATACAGGCTGCCGTCCGCGTGCCCGCTGACCAGCGCGCGCCCGTCGGGGCTCGCTGCCAGCGCGGCGACGGGGCTGCCGCTCGGGTGCGCATACAGGGTGTACGTCTTGTTGGTCTTGAGGACCCCCAGCTTGACCTTGCCGTCCGCCAGCCCGAAGCACACGTCGCCGTGGCGCTCGGCGGGCCACGCCAGGCACGCGACGGCGCTGCTCTGCAAGAACTTGTTGCATATTGACTTTTTTTCGTCCCACCCGGCGCCCAGCCTGCGCGTGGTCGGGCGGGCGGCGCGGGGCATTGTCGCGCCGGGACGGTGCTTGTGCTGCCAACAACACGTGCAGAGCGCGTTGGCAGCACAAGCACCACGAGGGCCGCTTGCCACTCAAAGCAGCATCAAAGTTGCAATTTCTGCGCAAGGGGACACAACATTAACCGCTGCCAACCTGTACACAAAGACGATGTTGTCGCTCTGCGCGACGGCGAGCTTGGACGAGTCTGGAGAGAATGCGAGCCCACGGATCAGGTATGCGCCGCTGCTGTTGCCGTCCGCCGCCTTGGTGCGGAACTTGTCACGCCGCTCGCCCGCCTCGTCGTACAAGTGCACCACCCGGTCCGCGGTCGCCGCGGCGAGCTTGCCACTGCGGCGGCGGGTCAAAGGCGCACGTTTGACTGTGCGCATCGTCCACGTGTGGCGCTTGGGGCACTGCGTGGCTGGGGCGAGGCTGGGAGCCCTGCCACCGTAAACCTTGATCTGTCTCTACTTCTATCGCCTCTCATGCAAGATCCGTCCTTCAGAGGGCCGTGCGCCCGTCATGTTGCGCGCAATCGCCCACACGCCTATGTTCCCGCCCGCACTTGTCCGGCGCCCAGGCAAGCGCGCCAATCTTCTGGATAGCATCCAAGGGTGCAGCAATGCTCTGAAGGTATCGCAGCTGCATCCCGGCGGGGCACCCGCGGGCGGACAGAGCGCGAGCGGACCCCCTTGTGATCTGGGACCTAACCAGTGCAAAAAATACGCGTGGCCGATACCAGAGATCTTACATATACACTGACAATCGCGAGCTGTCCTGTACTTGGTACTACGCAGCTTTGAAGTTGGGACAGCTTTCGTTTCGGGGTGCGGTAATCCCTGTCGCCGAGGAGGAGGTGTATATCGTTGCGGAATGATCACGCGGGAGGAGCCTGGTGGAGCGGCCTGATCTGCGGCCTCACTCACCAGGATCATGGGGGTGCAGCCGCTGCTACCAGCCCTTGACCTGCTGCTCAGGCAGTACTGGAGGCTGGCCTCCGATCTGGTGGACGTCGCGAGCCCGCAAGTGAGCGGTCGGGACTCTCAACGTGGATGCCCGCTGACCCAACCGCGCGCCGCTGTGCTGTTGATAGCAGGGGCAAGGGGCCCTGCCGAGCATCCTATGTTGGTCCTGCCGCCACCAGGAGGGTCCAATTAGAGCCTGCGTCATCACTAGGACAACTACGTTGGCCTCGCCCCCGTGTTGGGGTGCCAGCTGGACAGGCGGGGAGCCACAGCAGCGCCCATGCACACGCGCCGCTGCACCCCACCATGTGCACTTGGCAGGAGAACTTTATTTCGCGCCTGTCGTCGGACTGGCGCTATGAACGCGCTCTGCAGGTGCGGTGTCCTACGTTGATAGGCTAGCGATGCGATATGCACGCAACAGCGACCAGCTAGAACTCAATCACCTGCTAGTGTGTTTCCAGCAAAGACAAAATACCACGCCAGCAGCAGTGCAGGTGCCTCCACATCGATGTTTGTGCTCACCAATGTGTGAGCTTGCAGCAATGCGCCACCACCTTCACATGTGCAGGGCATCCGCCTGCTGGTGCAGCACCACACCGGCCTGCTGGTGCAGCACCTCATGGGGTGGCGGCAGCAGATCACCGACGAGATCAAGAAAGCGTACAGCGGCGGCGGCGGCGGCGCGGGCGGCGGCGGCAGCGGCGTGCTGAACGTGCAGGGCATCTGCAAGCGGGTGAGCGGGCGTTGCAGCACGCGGTACTGGGACGCGGCACGGGCTGCGCATTTTGGGTGCGATCAAATACAGCTAGTGCTGCAGCTGCGGGTGGGCGATTGGTGGCAACAGCAGATTGAGCTATGGCGGCATCAAGGTCAGCGGCGGCATCGGGTTAAGCAGGGGCAGGGCAGGTCCAGCATTTCTCGGCCTTCCCCTCTCACCTCGATGCCAGGCGGCAATGGAGATAATCTTCCTGGAGGCCTCCCACGTGGTGCTGGAGGAGTTCAGGCCCGAGTTCTTCTCTGACCGCCTCTTCTGCTTGTTCTTCGACAACATGCAGCAGTGAGCGAGCGCCCGGCGCGGCGCCAATCTGAAATGCAACATGTCAGCAGGCGGTAGCGGTAGCGGCCGCGGGGACGGCAGACGCGTACACGGAAGTCGCCACCAGGTTGCAGGCCAGCGGCTGCACGTCAGGCGGCTGCATATTGCGTGCCCGTCAAGAAGCTGCGTCAGCAAACCGGCCGCGGATGTCCCTTGCTCCCCCCCTTCCCCCAGGCTGGCGTTCCGCTGGCTGGTCAAGTCGGAGGAGTACGTGCCGCATCAGGAGCTGACCGGCCTGCGTACCCAACTGGTGGTCAACAGCGTGCGGCTGGTGGCGGCGATGTCGCGCATACGGCTGCCGGACATCACGCAGCAGGTGTGCCGTGCGCTGTCCGCTTGGGCCTAGGCAGCCGGGCACTGGTGCAAAGTCCCCTGCATTGTTGCCCACAGCAGCAGCAGCAGCAGCAGCAGCAGCAGCAGCAGCAAGCCGATCCTGTCAGGTTCCTCGTTTGACCAGTCAACTCACCTCGTGTCCATCCCCTCGAAGTTCTTGCGCAAGCTGGACGAGCACATCAACCCGCGCAAGGACGGCGGCGGCGGCGGCGGGCCCGGCGGCAGCGGCGGCTCTCCTAGCAGCCCCTCTGGCGGGCCGCTCGGCACGGCGGCGCTTCGAACGCAGCTGCTGAAGCTGTGCAACGGCATGCGGGGCGTGGTGCTTGGTTTTGACAGCGACGCGCAGCTGGCGGCGTCCGTCGACTTTCTGAAGCAGGTGCACCCCCTCAACCACACGGCTGCGTTCAAGAAGAGCCAGGTACGGAAAATGGGGTCTGCACCTTGCTCAGTGCTGCCACGCCGCACAAGGGAAGGGGCGCACGGCGCTGCCGTCGACGGGCTGCTGCGACACTGCGCACTCGACGCACCTCAAGCCGCGCCTGCCATAACGTTGGCGGTGTGCCATGCCATCGCCCCGCCAGGTGCACCACGCGCTGTGCGAGGTGCTCACAGACGTGCTGCGGCCGCTGGTGCGGTCAAACCTGCCGGGCGCCAACGCCGCAAAGCTCAGCCCTGCGCTGCTGAGGGAGTGGCATGGCCAGGTGGGCATCTGATGCGAACCAAGGGAGGCAAACGGCGCGCGTTGGTGCGCGGACTCTCACCCTCTTTGGGCTCATGGCAAGCGGCCACGTTTTGTGGGGCGCCAGGGTGGCTTAGCGCTGGGATGTTGCTGCGACATGCATGCCGCAGTCCTGGACGCCGCGACGCCCTGCACCCTTTGCGCGGCATTGCAGGTCCTGCGCCTGAAGAACGACATCGGACAGTGGGTCAACAAGCACAACAAGCACATCAGCGTGAGCCCCGCCAATTCCACAACCTCGCAACCCCCCGCGGCCCCTCTCTCTTGGCGGCCCTAAACGCTGGGTGTGCCGGCATCCGGCGTGCTGGTTTCTTCAGCTGTGCTTGCGCGAAGGACACAGCCGCCCTGTCTTTGCCCTTCCCACCCTCGCCCCTGCGACAACAGGTGGGTTACCCTCTGGTGACGCTGCTGGTGTGCCTGGTGGAGCAGGAGCAGTATGCCAAGCAGATGGACATCATGGCCGACTTCCTGGTCAAGCAAATGAAAGTCAAAGAGTACAGGTGCTGGTCAAACCCTCGCAATCCACACGCGATCCGCTCAGCACACGCGCCTGCAGCGCCCCGGCCCGCCTCGCAAATTGCCGAGCGCAATTACTTGTCGCGCGCCCCATATGATCCAAGCAATCTCCTCTGCTCAGCTCAAATTTGTCTGCATCCCGCAGGTCTCTCTGCTTCAGATGCCTCGGCCAGCTCGTGATCTCGTACCTCGTCCGCGCCGCCGGCCCCGCTGCGCCGACGCAGCAGCACGCCGCGTGGCTGGATCGCGTCGTGCGGCCCGCGCTCGCGACGGCGCGGAAGGGCGGGCTGGTGCTGGCGCAGGAGCAGCTTGAATTTGTGATTGAGCTTGCGGACCTCAACCCGGAGTTCGCCCTCGGGGCCGTCATCCTTGACATGCTGCAGGTGGTGCAGAAAACCCTGGATGGGCCCTGCCCCGCTCCTGCGCGGCGCATGCGAGGCTTCGGGGACCTGCTTTGCCTTGACGCCGCGGCGACGCCGCATGCCGACTGTCTGCTCGTCCACGCAGCGACGCGGCGAGGCGTGCGTGCTGCGGGGTGGCCTGCGAGCCTCCTGTTTGAACCGCCAACACCGCCCCTTCGCGCCTTGATCGCAGCAAGCGGACACGCCTGAGACCCAAACGACGGCGCTGCGCGCGCTCCAGATCATGCTGGCGTCCGTACCGGCTGCCGTGGCGGCCGAGGTGCTGCAAGCCGCGGGCGTGCCGGGCGCGGAGCAGGCGGGCGCGGCGGGGGGTGGCCCTGGGGGCGGCGTGGCGCGGCTGCGGCAAAGCGGCGGCGCGGTGGTGCTGCAGCCCCAGCAGCAGCCGGGGCGGAGGATGGTGCAGGTGCGAGGGGGCCACGTGGGAGGCGCTGTTTGCTTGCACCTGCTAGTTCTTGGCTGCTTCGAGGCTGCAGGTTGCGTGTATGTATGTGCATGTGCTTATGCGTGAGTGAGCGCAAGTGTGTGATTGTGTGTGTGCATGTGTATGTCTGTGTGCGCGTGTGCGTGTGTATATGTGTGTGTGATGAACAAATTGGTTGACTGTGTGGTTGATGGTGGGATGTTTGGAAGGTTACGACACTCCTCTGCTGTTTCTGATCATGCGCCACCGCGCCCCGGCGCCGTGTCCAGGTCTTGCCCCACGTGGCGCTGCAGCTGGTGCGCAGCGGGCGCCACCCCCTGGACCTGCAGGGCGTGGCCCACCTGCTGCCACGCGTCCAGTCAGCGCTCGGCGCCCTGCTGGCCCAGTGCCACCGCACGTTCGGCTCTGCGACCACCTGGTCCGGCGAGGCCGTGGCAAAGGACAAGGCGCCGCAGGCGGTGCTGCTGGGCTGGCTGCTGCGGCTGCTACCGCTGCTGCGGCCGGAGGGGTGGCCGGGGCGGCCGCTGGAGCTTCTGCCGGGGTGAGCGTGGGCCTTGTCGCGCGGAGTTCAAGGCAGTGGCAGGGCCCGTCCCGCGTGCTTAGCTTAGCTTCACAGTCTGAGTGACGCGGCAGCAGCGCTTTGGATTAATGTTGTCTGTCTTGTCATCACAATTGGCTGAACGGCACTCTTGTCAACCCATGCTTCTGCTCCGCCCTTTTTTCATCAAACAGGTACACCGCCCACGCAGAAGGGCAGCTGCGGGTGTGCGCGCTGGACGCGCTGCAGGCGGTGATGCGCTCTGCGCCCGCGCTGCGCGGCGGCGTGCTGGCGAGCGTCGCGCGCTTTCTCATGTCGATCCCTGATGAGGGCGTGCAGGTGGGAAGCAGGCTGGCAGGGCATTTGAATTCGGTCCGCGAGCCCGCGGCTGGAGGCGCGGGCACACGGATGCTGCCGGCCGCCTGTCATTGGGCGCCCATTCTAATCAGGCCTTATCTGTGGGCGGCCGATTTCCGCTTCTGCTGGCATGAGAGAAAGGATCCTGCTGTGTCGACGCCATGTGAGGTGCGGGCAGCGCTGATGTCACCAAACGCTTACGACGCGCAACCTCCTCGCTGCCCCTCCCCCTTTCCCGGCCCGCAGCCGACGCGCGAGTGCATGCTGCTGCTGCGAAATTTGATGCAGCTGTGGCTGGGCCTGCTGCTGGACGAGCGCCGAGGGGCCAGCCTCTGCGAGGCCGCCGCGGGCGGCGACGCGGCCGACGCTGCGTATGCCCTTGCGGCGGGCGGCCCGGCGGGCGCTGCCGGCGCCGCGGCCGCGGCGGAGCTCGACTTGGAGGCTGTGGAGGGCGCGATGCTGGTGCTGCTGTGCTCGTTCGACGCCACGCTCAGGCGTGACGCGTTCGAGGGCCTGGGGCAGGTGCGGACCCTGCATCAGCACCTGGCGCAGCGGCGCGCGGCCGCTGCGGCCGCTGCAGCCGCGGCGGCGGCGGAAGCGGGGAGGGAGGCGCCTGGCGGCGGCGGCGGCGGGGGCGTGGGCAGCGGCTTGAAGGCGGCGGGCAGGCTCGGCGCGCGGCACGCGCCATCAGCTTCCAGTGACTCAATAGAGTTTGTCCGGGCTTTGGGTGAGTAGCGCTGTGACCATGTGGTAGGGCTGGGCCGAAAGTGCTGCGGCTTGCCGCCCTTTGCGACGTCAGAGCCATGAAACCACGACCTGCATGCATGAATTGCTGCGTGGGCCGTCCGGAGGGTGGCTGCGCTCCCAGCCATCCGCCCTGCCATTAGCATGCAAAGCGCACGCGCATGCCCCTTCCCGCGCGTGTCGGGCCAACTGCAGGCGGCTTGGAAGCCCAGCAGGCGCAGCCCGAGCCGGTCACATACCTCATGGATGTCCTGGAAGAGGTGCGGGCAGACGGCTTCGCATCCGCTTTATTGCAGGCAGCAACCGGGCGCACTCGTCGCTGGACGGCCACGCGCATGCGACCGGGTGGGGCGATGGACATCCGCGTGCTGCTTGACAGCGTTTGACCCGCGGCCTTCACGCCCCCGATCCTGGGCGCGCCGCTGTCTGGCAGGCGGGGGCCGTTTCGCAGTCGTGCAGTGGCACACGCAATACCCGTTTACCTCCCCCAGGTGGGCGGCGACGTCGCGCGGCGCTGCTTCTGGGACTTTGGGGACTGGAGTGATGTGTGGCGGGACACCAAGCCGGCGCCGCCAGGCGTCACCCTAGAGGTTGGCGGGGGCAGGGGGTGCGGCGGCAGGGTGAGGCGCGGCGGCGCGACCCTATACCCTGGTCCGTAGGAGGCGATGCTGCAGAAAGAGATGTAGAGCGCAACTCATAGCTGCGAGGGTGACGGCTGTGGTGATTCGCCACGCCCACGTCGGGCGCTTGCCGACAGACCAGTTGGATCACATTAGATCGAACATATCCGGGGGCTGCTTCCAGGGTCGTCCTCGGTCCGTCCCAGGCTGCCGGGCGCTCACGCGTGGTCTGCGGGGCCGCATCCCTCCCCTCGCCCCCACGCAGGGGCTGATGTCGGCGAGCGACGACGTCGGCTGCCTGCGCTGGGCGCGCTGCGCGGTCGACCTCGCGCGCGCGGCCGCGGCTATGTGCCCGGCGTCCGTGGGCGTCGCGTGCGCGCAGGCGCTGGCCAAGCTTCAGCGCCACGTCACGTGAGGGCCTGGGAATCATATAGGATCAGCCTGCCTGCTGACTCTTCAAGCCAGGGCGACTTTGGACGAAGCATGACCGCACTGCCACTGGAAGAGGCTGATGATTCCGCCGGACAGTGCGGGAGGCCAACGGTCAAACACTCGCACGCGTCGCCAAAATCGCGCGCGCCCTCGTCGCAGCCGGGACGCCGCGGGCCGCGTGACGCTCCCAGGGGATCCAATTGATGGGCGCGGCCTCGAGGCGTGGCGCGCCCACCTCGCACTGCCCTGCGTCGTGCCGCCGGCGCTGGCGGGGCCGCCGGTGCAGCGGCCGGCGGCGGCGGCTGCGGCGGCGGCTCGAAAGGTGAGGGCTGGGCGGCCGCGTGCCGTCCGCGAATCGTTTCAGGTCCCCATGGATAAGGCGGCAAGCAGTGCCCTGTAGCCTGGGCAGCGCCGGTTGAAGCGCCGCCGCCTGGGCAGCGCCTCTTGAAGCGCCGCCGATATCTCAGGGCCGCTCCCGTGTGCGGCCCTCAAACCACCACGCCTTCGCCCCTACCCCCGGCCCGCCTGCAGGCGCCGGGCCTCGCTGCGCGCGACCTGGTGCGCGCGCTGCTGTCTGCGCTGTCGGCGGGCGCGCCCCCGATGCACCAGCAGCTGTACCTAATGGCCGTCAGCCACTGCAGCAGGGAGCACTACCCCCCCCTCGCGCAGGTGGGCGGGGCTTGTGGGGCAGGATGCAGTCGGGCTGGCTGCGTCTCGGCCCGTCGCGGCTGGCCGCGCACGCGCTTGCGCGCATTGGTGTGCATCATGTATATGAGCCGCGTTTTCAAATCCACTGGACAGCCCCATGCCTGCATGCGTGGGCAGCTGCTCACCTGGGTGTCCTGCGCAATGGCGTTGAGGCCCTGATCTGGGCGTTGACCGCGTTTGACCGACATGTGGGGCGCTGCAATCTGCCGCGCGCCCCGCCCTCAGGAGCTGCCCGCGCTCATGGAGGAGTACCAGCGGCCCAGCACCAGCAGGCAGCGCGCGCGCGGCGCGGGGCGGCCCGAGGAGGTGCGCTGCGCGAGGCGGCGCGGGGCCAACCGGCGGCTTCTGGGCTGACCACCTTGAGCTGCCCAACTGTCAGCTGCCGATTGGTTAGCGACAAGGAAATCTGCGTCTGCACTGCGTCTGTGTATGCCCGCAGACCAGGGCCCGCGCTTCCTGTCCGCCCACGTGCGTGCCGCACCCAACCCCCCCTGTTTGCAGGCGCGCAAACTGGTGGCGAACCTGCTGCGCACCGTCGCCGACGCCGCCCCTCCCGGCGCGATCGCGTCGCAGCCGCCCCTCGCTGCGCGCTACGCGGAGTGGCTGCGGGAGTCGCAGGCGTTCCTCAGGGGGCTGCCGCCGTTTGGAGAGGACTTTTGGGAGGCGTCGCAGGTGCGTGCTGGGGACCAGAGCCCCCAAGCTGCTCTTCATTGCGGAGCCGTGCAGCCCTCCCGCTGCTGCTGCTGCTGCTGCTGCTGACTTCGCCGAATGCCGACGACGCGCACGCCCGGCGGCGCGCGGGTCGTTGCACTCGATGTGCTTGCAGGTCGCCTACTGCCTCTGCTCGGTGGTGCGCTGCCTGTCAGGCCAGCTGGCAGCCCAGCAGCTCTCCGCCTCGGCAGCCGCCCAGCTACCCGAC